GCCTCGCTCTTTTGGCGAGCCCTGTTCAAGCTCAAGCCAGAATCCTGGCATCGAACACTCGGCCTTTACGAGTGACGATTTCGCGTGAAGACTTGTAATTAAGCCAGGAGCCCTCGGTTTTTTTGCAGTGATCATGCTTGCAGGCGTAGCTCCAGCTCAACGTGCATTAAACTGTGGTACCTCGAATAGCACCACACTACGAAGCTGAAATATCGTCAATCTTTTGCGAAAGCCTGCAGCATACAGATTAAACACCTACTCGTCATTGCCTTTGAGACGCAGGAAATGCATGCAAGTCATTGCCTGCCACTTGCCAGAAGAGGAGATCAAGGACACGGTTCTCTCAGGTTCTTCGTTGTGTACTCCATGGAGGGAGTGGAGGTAGATGGGGCTCCAGTCTGGAGTTTGGCTCCCGGTGTAGGGGAAGACTACCAGGCGTTCTTGCTTGTAAGGCTGCAGCAAAAAAAGGTATTCTTCCAGGAGCCATGCAGTCACTGATCCGCATGAAACCTAGTCTTACGGAAAGCGTGAATTTCTTCTGTGTGCCATGCAGAACTGTTGACGAGAGTTGGAAGAGATCTTGCAAAGCTCATCCCAAAGACGCTGGACGGGAGAATTTGATTCAACGTCAGCTGGAAATGTTGCAGGAGCTTGCGAAAACGTTTCACACCCTGGACACAAACGGAGACGGTGTCCCTTTGCCTGCACGCTAGAGAGGCGACAGTCGACTAGACTCTCCAGCCCGTCGCAGCTTCGGGCAGCCTTTCGCGTCGCGTGTAGAGCAGAATCTGGCTTTGCCTCGCAACGTGGCACCTGACAACCACTGATCCGTTCGGCTCCAGTCTTGTGAGGAAGTCTCTCTGAGCGAGCTCAAGCACGCTATATCCTTGGTGGGGAAGCGCAAGGGCGCCAAAGGCAAGCGCAAGAACTCGGTCCCCTGGCCTTTGAAACTTGCTTGGTCATTTGTCTTGCGGTCGTGGATTGTGGCTTGTGTGCTGTTTGCTTGGCCACGACACACACTTGTTTGTCAGAGGCTTGCAGGACGAGTAAAGTTTCTTGAGAGAGACAAGGCACCAGCCACCAAGCCTTCTGCCAACGATAGTTCACATCGCGGGTTCGCCAAGAGCACCACGGCACCACGCACCCGTTAATCGGGTGCAAAGAAGTCATTGAGGTCTTTGGTCCTACCGATGGGGACATGCTGAAGCTTGTGTCGGTGGACCGACTGTTTTCGGGAAGTTCTGGGTGGGCTGTAGGCGGGCATCTTGGCACCGGAATCTCAGCATCGGTTAAAGCACCGAAGTTCTCATTTTACAAGCAGCTGTACGGACTATAGACTATAGGGAGAAAAGTTGTGTGTAGAAAACCCAGTGCAGGGTTGACCACGGTTTTGCCGCAAGTTCAGCTCGGGAAAGACTGTGATGTGAAGATTCCCTTGTTGCCAGGCGATGGATAGCAACGGTGACAATCGTTCCTGGGCTCCGGATCATGTCGGTCCCACAACTAACTGCAGGCCCATGTGAAGGCTGCTTTGTTTTTGCATGCTAGTCCATCTGCGCAATCCCATGCAAAGGCTTCTCTGCAAACCTTCCGAAGCCGAAACCCTTCCACTTTGACAGAACGCCGGATAAGGAATCAGCTACACCGAATTTCTGGCTGCCTGCCTGGAGGTGCTGTGGGGGCTTCGCATTCATGTTATGCATGATATCGGAAACCCGATCCCAGCGCATTCGCTTGACCTTACTCTTGGTAGCGGGGGTGGCGCACTTTGCGGCTCACCTGACCTGCACCAACGACGAGCCTGTGTTGTTGCTTTGTTCGGTGCCATGGTGGTGCACAGCTCTTGTGCAGCTTGTCCCAAAGGTGAGCTTGGATCCAGACCCCAATCCCCGCAGTCCAGTGCCACGCGTGCCCCGGCCCTAGGCCCTAGACCTTGAAATGGTTCAGGCCCTTTACCCCACTCATGTTGAAGCCTTCGATCATTGGCCCCAGTCGCCCAGTCCCAGTGCCTTGGAGGAGAAACACTACCACCAAGAGGCTGCTTGCTGGCATGCCTTTCGGTGCCTCAGACGGCACTGGTCTCTGGCTCTGCCGCAGCATGTCAGCGGTTGGCAGAGCGAGCATCAAGCAAACTCAAAAGCTCGAGCAGTGCGACTGTACCTATGCAGGGGTGTACCAGTGAGGAGCTCCTAACAGCTAGCATCTGACAGGCTTGATGTCCTGAAGTCAACAAGGCACATGGCACAGTATTCAATTGAAAATACGCAGGAGATTTGGCAAGTTGCGTGGTCTAGATGTTGGAGTTGCGGCATTTAGCCTCGCCTGTCGGCGAGATCGTTCGAAGTTATCTCTGAGTGCTGCTTTGGGTCCAGGTCGGTCCATGCAATCGAAAGGCAAGACTTTGTCTTCATGCATTGCGAGGAGAAGCCACAACACTTGAGGCGAACAGCTGAGTTTTCACATTCGTCGCCAGCTGCACTATCCTAGGTTCTTCGATCGGGACAACGATGGCAAGATCACGCGGCAGGACCGCCCAAGAATTCAAAAGCTTAGGACTTAGGACATTCCGAAAACCCCACAGTGTTGGAATCTGCTCCGCCTTCGCTGTCAAGGAGCTCCTAGAAGCCCTGAAGGACGAGGAGTTCGGGGACATGCCGGAGTCTCAAAAGCAGGGTTCGCCGATGCGAGGCTATGCTTTGATGGTCAAAGTACCACTTTCAACTGGTGTCGAGGTTGTGTCGCATGCTCCTTGTACGGGAGTGCTGAGCCCAACAAGCCATCAAAAAGAGACTCTGCAACTTGAGGCCCAAAGCGATAAAGAGCCCAGGAATCCCTCGCTTTCGAGACCGTTTATTATTTGTGTTTTATTCCGCTGGTTCAAGCTCTGGCGTTTGCCCATGCAGTGGTGCACCCCCGCGCAGTTTGTCGATTCCTTTTGTGATGTCCCGCTACTGTATCGGGGTCTTGTCAGTTGCATGATCATGCTCCAGGCTGCCGCAGAAGGTCATCGCTGACCTGGTAAAGGCCGGCGACAGCAACGGGAACCACACCTTGGATTTCTACGAGTTCATGGCTGCTCGGAACAGGTTGTTTGGGCGATTTTGCGCTGCAAAGGTTCCTGCAGGGGCCATGGGGTCTTTGATGTTCTTTGTCAATGTGCACGCAGGCGCCAAAGGAAACGAAGGGCCTGTCACTTGCTGCCCTATCTCAAGTAAGCATCGACGGTGCAGCTTTGCTGTGTGCTGCGGATAAGTTCATAGGTCAGGACAGACCTTAACCAAGCTCTCTGCGAGTGTGCGAGTCGAACCCAATACATTGCGATGTCTGTGAGAAGCTGCCCTGCAGGCAGGCGTAAACTTCTGAGAAGCTTCCTAAACATGTTGATTGCCCTCGTCTGAATGCCAAACTGAGGCTTTGGTGCAGCCTGACCGGGAGTGGACGGCGCCACAGGTCGCCTCACAGGGCAAGGACGGCAAGGATGCAGGCAGACTTTGGGATTCTGCGGTCATGAGGATGCAGTGCGCTGAAGTTCAGCCTTTGGGGTTGGGGCCTCCTATGCATGGACCAACAGCTTCAGACAATAGCACAGCTGGCCTCGTCCGATAAACAATTTGAGACCCTTGCGCAGATGCAAGGCCCCGGGCCACCTTCGCCGCTGAAGGCCGACCGCCGGAAGCGCAAGAACTCGAATGTGGGGCTGTCGGGCACCGAGACCAATGCAACATGCAGCATCTTTCCCTGCGGGGTGCATGATTATAGTCATGTGCCCGCCACGACTGTCGGATTGCAGTGTGCTGCTGATGCAAGCACAGTCAAGCACATGGCAGTTCTTTCTTGATAAGGCGACGGCTGCTTTTTCACAGTGGGCAAAAACCAATGTTGCAACTGTCGCCGCCATAAACAGTATCGCCGGTGGCGGCGCTGGTTGTGCTAGTCGCACGTGCCGCCGTGATGGAAGAGATCACGACGACTTTGATGAGGGTGCTGTTGAGCGTGGGGATGGGCGTCGCAACGGCAACGCAGGCGATATTGTAGTTAGACTGTTAGACGAATCATTTTACAGAATCAGACGCAGTTGGGTTGACCATGTCGATCGCCCTCGTCCTCCGTCATAACTGTTGGATCCGAGGTGCCCCTCATGCGGCCAGAGCCGCCAGCTCAAGGACTGAAGCTGGGCTTGTCATGCTTGAGGCATGCTGCATGATAAGCAAAGGGCAAGAACCCGTCTCCATCGAAAGCTGCACAAACAAACAAGCACAAAAACGCATGGATGCAGGATCGTGACAAGAAGGGCTTGATGTGTGCGGGCTGCTGGATGGCACAGCAGTGATCGCTCTCATGCAGGCATCGGCCGTTGCTGTCAGTGGGCAGTGCGGGGGTGATGATTGACAGATCTCAAGGCTTCGTGGGGCTTGTTGGAATTCGGAACATCCCCATAACCCGAAATCGCCAAGTCAGCTTCTTTCAAGTGCATTCTCCGCCACAGGAGTGTGGACCCAGGACGCGTTTCTTGCCATGTGAGAGTTCCTCACTGGCCGCTTAGGTGGGGAGTTGAAGAATTAGCGACTGGTTCTGCAGGGTTGTTAGTAAGACAATGCTTCTCAAGCTGTCTTGATGCCTCGGGGCCTTCTGGCAGCTCGTAGCTGCGGTCTCACTGTTCGCCGTGAGCAGCTCTAAGAGCTGCACGTCCAGGACGCAGCATGCCGAAAGCCAGCAGCGCTGTCAGACAAGCCAGTCAAGCCAGACTCGCGCGCCAAACCTGCTAGGTCTAAGATCGTAGTCGTAATGTGCATGCAGCCTTCGGACTGGTGTGAGGCACGTGTTGGGAATTGAATCGTTTTGAATAGATGGCTGGTGCCAAAGCTTTCCGTGCCACCATTAACTTGACAGCGTCGGCAAGGAAATCTTTAGGGCAGCCACGGATTTTGAATTGGGCTCTGCCCAGGCACCCAGAGAGCGTCAGTGAGCATACCTAGCTGGACCTAGCTGTTTCCGCCCAGCCTGCAGCAGCGCTCAGCTACTTCTGTGCGCCCCAACAGTACGATTTGCATCAGCAGCCTCTCGGTGTCACGCCCTCCATATCCATATCACTACTCGCAAGGCAGACCATCGTCGCAAGTCTTGCCGGGACATGTCAATGTGAGCACAAAAAACGCACGAGATGACCCCCGTAGTACTACATCCTGCACTGCCGACTGGGTGCCCGAGACTGCCGCGACATTTGCGCGCAGACGCCAGCATACCGGTCTTTCAAGAAGGCAAGGGATGCAAAAGCCGGTGAGCAATGGGCCGTTGTCTTTGCCGGAACTTTCGTAAGCTCCAAACGTACACATCCTCAATGCTGGACATTTCTAAACCAGAAGAAGCCACAAGCCGTCACAAGCGCGAAGACCAAGGCCTTCGCTTCGCTGCTACAGCGCCGGGCACGCAGTTTGGTGGCAGAGGACGTGCTGCGCCCGGCCGATGAGGGTCCCTCAGGGTTGCTAGAGTCTGCTAGAGCAAAGCTGAAAGAGTCCAAGTCGCAGCTTCGAGGCATTCTCGCTAGAACCCTTGCCTATCAATTTCAGTTATATTTTTCTGATAAGCTAGCTGTCGTCGCAGAAGTAGCCAGTTGTTGTAGTAGAACAGTGATGGTCGTCGTCGTCGCATTGGTATCAACGAGGTTATAATCTTAGCAGTCGTCTTTCTAGTGCTCGGCGTGGTAGCAGCTCACTTCGAGTAGCAGCAGCACTAGCAGTAACAGTAGCCGTAGTCGTAGTAGTAGCACCAGCAGCACCAGTAGTAGTAGGCGCAGTCGGAACCCTTACAGCTTACAGCCCTTACAGTTTTTGGCGCCCCGAACCTTCGACGTGATGTACAGCCGCTGAGGATGGTTTCGCTTGCGCCCTTTTCGAGGCATGCTGCGCGGTAGGGGTGTCTGCTGGAGGCTGCATGAACTGAAACAGAATCATTTCGGAGGTTTGCTGCGTGTGGTTCTGTTTTGTTGATTTTGTTCTTTGGCTTCTTATGTTGGTGTCTCTGTGTGCGTGCGTGCGTGCGTGTGTGTGTGTGTGTGTGTGTGTTCTTTAAAGTGTTCGCTCATTAGGTTGTTGGTTCCAGAAGCCCGGTCATGTGGTGGCTTCTGGTCTGGTGTTAGTCGCCATGTGATGCGATTCTAAGAGGATCCCCCAATCCGTCCGACACACCAGTCACCACAGCAGCAGGCTTACAAGGCTCTCGAGCAGAAGGGGGTTGTCCTCGTGTGGGAGCCGACGGACGTGGCACCGGCCTCAGTATCGCCAGAGCTCGTGAGACAACGACGACGATGATGACAGTCTTGGTGAGTTCAGCCTGCGTGTTTAAACAGCCTGCATGGAAGCGTCAGAGTGGAGAATGGGGCAGCGCAGGCGGAAGCAGTTTGAAATCACCTCAGCGAGATGCATCAGCAGGGCCTCCACCAACCGAGCCGTGCGGAAACCACAGAACTGATAAATTGCTACCTGTAGAAGTTCACGGTAAACCGGCTGCCAAATGCAGAAATCGCTGCCACGAAGTTTACGATGACAGTGCCCATGCAGTACTCGTGCAGAGCTGACTTAGACACACTTTCACCAGGTAAAGCTGTATGCGCAGCCGATCATTTTGTATGCGCGGGCATGAAGTCATTCTGTGTTGCCGAAGCTCAAAACCCTGATGATTCCGATTGGATGCGGCGCAAAACCTTGCACAGGACCTTGCCATTGCCAATGTTTGGCCAGACTGTGCGGTTGGGAGCCTAGCTGTGCCGAGCAGCAGAGGCCACCATCCTTTGCACAGGCAGTGCACGGACGCACATGCTAAAGCCTTCTACCCTCCTGCGACAGCAAAAAAACAAACGAGTCTGTCCCACTTGTTCATGCCTGCCGGCTAAGACTATCGATGCGATGAAAAGCCACAAATAGTCGTTAAAACTGCACTGAGCATTGACACCTGGCTTCTCGACTTGCGGTTGGTGCCGTCGTTGATGCAAGGATACTAAATACATGCTCTGTCAGCACGGATTGCGGCAGGGGTCCTTGTTCGCATGTCGTTCCCGACCTTTCCTGGTTGTTGGCTGCGTCGAAACACTTTTCGCTGCCTTGCGGGCCAGGCCAGCAGTCGAGAACTGGATGCAGAATTTGCGGCATGCTGAAATCCGAGAATCCGAGCATAGCAGCCCCTACCAGCTGGAGTCCATTCTAAAACGAAGAGCTTTGGTAGCTTGACTGTATGTGAGCCATCTCCCAGGCGCCGGAACCTCTGATGCCTTTGAGCAGGAAGCTAGCAGATCGCTGCCTGGCTGGAGCTGGCTTAGCAGATGCAGATGTTGCAGAGTATCGCTATTGTTGAGAGTGTGTGTGTGTATAGAGGACTACGCACCAGCTCACAAAACCCATGTGAGCCACGAAGGCTGCCTACGCCTTGCTGCTACACCCTCAGCTGCCTCAGCATGATCTGTAGCGTGGCATTTCGTCTTAATTTGAATGCATGCCTCACAGTCAGTGCTCAGCTGGTCATGAAGCTGCCGGCGACGCGGTGTCGTAGAATGACAGGCTTTTCTTAAAAATACATGTAAGGTACCACCGCACCTCGTTGTACGTCAAAGCATGGGTTCGAAGTCAACCTGCGATTGGTGTTCATTCTTCAACTCATCCATCCAGAGCTCGATGGTTTCGGCGTGCAGTTGCCTCAAGTAGGGGTTTTGCTTTGCTTTGACGGAAGCCGGAAGCTGGCAAGATCTGGCAAGGATCCTGACCTCGGATTGGGCCGGCTGTTGGGCATCCTGCCCGACGGAAGGCTGTGCGGGCGGCACTAGATTCACTAGATCCCCTGTGCTGGTGGTAGGGCCCAAACCCAAGGCCCATGTTGGCACCAGGCTTTGAAAGCCACAACGGGCCTGCGTTATCCCAGCAGGCCTGGAACGGCTTTGTCAACCTGGCCGGCTGATGTGGTCAGCGTCCTCGGACACCTGCAGAGCCTGCAGAGTAAAATGCAGTCGATATGTGTAAAAATCACGTCGGTGCACAGCAGAGGCTGGTTGCTTCTCTGCAAAAATGTTCAGAGTTTGGATGCACGACTAAGCTCTGGTTTTATGCTTAGCTTTGCACCCAACGCTTGGGCATTATTCCAGATGTCATATACACAGCCCTCGGTTCTTGGAGAAGGTGCTTCCTGGCGCCGAGCATGGTGAGTTCACCGTGGATGGTCGCAGGCAGTAGGTGTTGTGTCATGAGGCTTTGGACTTGTTGATTCGGCACTTCCGGGCTCACTGCACACGGTGGAGCTGGGGCGAACAAGTTCTGCATGGTTTTAATGCTTGGCCATCAAGTTTAAGTAGGTCTCTGGGATTCTCTGGGGCTGTTGTATGACATGCAGGATTTGGAGCGAGACGGTCGAAGGTGAGTGCCAGACCCAGACGATGCCGGGTGAAAATCGCGAGCACGTCTTCGTGTCCTCGGAGCAGCGCTCAGGTTCGCCTCGGCTTTGGCCATGACCAAGCACGTGTTGTGCACCTAGAGTGGGAACATCTCAAGAGGGCAAAAGTCGCAGTGTGTTATGGAGCTCGGACAGTTCTTAATATATCCGAATGTGACATCCTTGTAATATCTGATTCGTGTTGCATGCCCATCAAGTGTCTCTACGGCCATTTGCACATGGTTTTCTAGCCATTGACGAAAACCCCTTTGAGCCCGACCTTCGCT